TACTTCTCACCAAGTAAACCCCCTAGCCCAATCAAAAAAAAAAAAAAACAAAACAAAAAAAACCCCTAGCCCAATCAAATCAACTTTATTCAACTCTGCCCATCTCATTCCAAACCCCGTCAAATACGAATCCGGATCACCCGTCGCCTTACCCCTGTCGCCTTCCCCTGTCGCCCCCAAACATATATATATATATATATATATCTATCTATCTATCTATACTATTATAAACTGAACACCTCTTATGGTGTCCTGAAGCTTTACTCTCCTCATGCCATGTGGCAGTATTTTTTACTCTCCTCATGCCATGTGGCAGTATTTTTTATTTTTTTAAAAAAAAGTTAAACAAAGAGATGGACAAGGCTTGAACCCATGACCATAGGTTTAAGTACGAGGACTCGTATCACTTAAGGTAAGTACACATTATAATATTAATTTCATTATTATTTTTTTTTATTCCTACTTATTTAAATTGCACACACATCGTGTGTGCCACCCACTAGTATATATATATACATATATTAGTAGGTGACACATTTGATACGTATACCATTTAGATAAGTAAGTATAATAATAAAATTTAAAATCTTGAGAATAAAATTTAAAATCTTGAGTTTAAAATTTTGCTCATGCATTTGAATAATATTTTTTTAATTTAAGATAAAAAAATATGTCACATAACAGAAAGAGAAACCATTATACTCTTAAATATCAAATCATTGCTAACATATATAATAACTAGCAGTCAGGCACACAAGATGTGTATGCAAATTAAAAAAATATTATTAAAAATGATTATACATCGCAAACTTATTAAAAAAATAAATAGAGAACACTTACAATTTTGATATAAACAAAATAAAATAATAATTCTTAAAAAAATAGTACTCTTTCTAAAATTATAAATCCAAGATTCTTAGAATATTTATAGTCAAATAGATTTGATATACACAAAGAAATATAAACAATTATGTTGAATTTTTTTGATATAAACAAAGTAAAATAATAGTCAAATTTTGTCCCTAAGGAACTTGATAATATAGTGAAACTTTTCATCTCCTTTTATTTTTTAATAAAGAAAGTAAAAAGTATAATTAAATTAGTACACACAAAATACAAAAATACAAACTCAAGACTATTAAAACACTTACAATCAAAGAGATTTATAAAAAAATAAAATAAGCATATCCAAAACCCCAATAAACTATTTTAAAAAAAAAAAGAAGGGAACCTTAAAAGCACTAGACACCAAAAAAAAAAAGTTACGTGAACAAATAAATCAATTTTTAAAAAATAGAATTTATATATAAAAAAACAAACAAAAGCTTAAAAAGGTGAAACAGGAACCAAAAAAAAGATTGAATATAATTTTTTTATAAAAAAATGAATATAAAAACATAAAAATACATAAAATAGAAAAATACAAACTTGACTCTTATAACACTTATAATCAAAGAGATTTTATAAATAAATAAAAAAATTGAACATTTTTTTATTTATTTGGACTAAAAATGGTCCCTATTTAAAACCCAATCCACCTCAGTCCTGTTTGTTTCCACAGAATAAAACTTCTCACATTTTCTAGAGAAAATTCTAGAGAGAGACGAGAAGATTACGGTGTAGTTGTTGGGATTCATGTGGATGGAGAGAGCCAGGAGAGCGTTCGTCAAGACAGTAAAAATCTACCACTAGTTGAAAATGATACAAAATTAAACACATTTTGAAGCTAATTAAGTTTTTAATATAAGGTTAAAGAATCTATTACTCAATTCGACTCAACTTGTTTACTGGACTATATGTGGTAGTAATATACACATTCATATATAGAAAAGGCAAAAGTACCAACATACATCGTCAATTCTTATATACATATATAAATTGATGGACCCATATACATATATTTAAAAAAGAAAAGAAAAGAAAAAGAAACAAATTGGCATTGACATACCATAGTAAGCTTGGCATTGAGCAAGCCTTTAGAGTAAGCGCCCTCAGCAGGAGACCCGTTCTCAATTGCAATAATGTCATCTTTGTACCACAATGACAGTATAGTCTCTCTACCCTGAATTATCACGCGTCACTCTCCCTTCTGCAACTTCGCTACTGGCACCATCGATACCCAGTTCCTCCCCTTCTCATCACTCACTTCACCTCCGCCGCCCTTGTCCTCGACCACCGAGACTTCAGTAGCCTTACACGTAATTTTACGGAGAGAGATTAGAGATGAAATCAAAGGTAAGGGGCTTACTGAGGCGGTGGTTGGGCGGCACAACGGCAGCAATAGCGGTAGTTTTTGGCAATGAGGCGGCGAATGGAGGAAGAGGACTTCGGAAGTGAGCTTTGGGGATGCAGTGGCCATGGATTATTTGGGGGTGGTAGAGAAAGAAAGCTCTGAGCCAAGAAATGTGAGAACAAAGAGAAGTGAAGCCTTAGTTCAAAAAAAAAAAAGAGAAGTGAAGCCTCACATATAATAGTATAGATACTAGCGTATGCCCGTTCCTGAAAGCGCGGTGTAAATAATGTTAAAATTATAATATAATTGTAATTTCAATACTATTTAAATCTATTTTTTAATTTGATAAAATCGCAAATTTATTATAAAATTTTGGGATTCTCACAAAACTCTTCACGAAAACTCGTTTTTCCTTATATAATATATAGCTAGATAGATAGATGTGCCTAGCATACATATAATTTTCACGGACATATATATAATACTGCTTTTGCTTATATAATTATATGAAAATTGTATGTATGCTCGTAATGTCCTAGTGTATTATGGGCATACATACATTGTATGGAAATATGTGTAAAATATATTGAACAAAAAGAAGAAAATAAAAAAATAAACAAATAGAGAGAACAATAAAAACGGGAGAAAATAAAAAAATAAAAAGAAAAGTGAGAAAAAGGCGGGATCATGGGATCATGGAAGGAGGGGTGTGAGAAAAGGAAAAAGTAAGAGAGAGAGAAGCAGGAAAATAGAAAATGTATATGTAGAACATTTTTTCAAAAATATATCTAAGCCATTATTTTATAATTTGAACAGATCTGAGTCATCCAAATATCCTAATAGGACAAAAATATGTTGAAAATTCAAAAACCATTCTACTTCATTAAAATATGCTGAAAATTCATATAAGGTCTAAATTTATGAAGTATATCAGGTATTCAATATATTTAAAAATAAAAATTAATTGTTCAAATTCATTTAATTTGTGGAATAAAAAGTTCATTAATATAATCTCCACTACACACAATAAAATCTGACTTCTAATTCTGAGATCGCAGGCTTTTTCATATAATATAAATAAAAATAAGTGAAAAAAAAGGAGAAAATAAAAAACATAAACAAATAGAGAGAACAATAAAAAGGGCAGAAAATAAAAAAAATAAAAATAAAAGAGAGAGGAAGGTGGGATCATGGGATCATAGAAGGCTGAGTAAAAAAAGGAAAAAGTAAGAGAGAGTAGCGGGAAAATAAAAAATGTACATGTAAGATATTTTTTGAAAAATATATCTTAGTCGTTATTTTATAATTTGAATAGATCGGAGCCATTTAAATGTCCTAGTAGAACAAATGTGTGTATGACAAATTCAAAAACCATCATGCTTTATTATATAGATGTTGAAGATTCATATAAGGTCTAAATTTATAAAGTCTATCAGGTATTTAATATATTTAAAAATAAAAAATAATTGTTCAAATTCATTAAATTTGTGGAATAAAAATTTCATTAATATAATCTCCACTACGTATAGTAAAATATGGCTCTTAATTCTGGGATCGCAGACTTTTTCATATAATATAAATAAAAATAAGTGAAAAAAAGGAGGAAATAAAAAACATAAATAGAGAGAAAAATAAAAAAGACAGAAAATAAAAAAAAAATAGAGGAAGGTGGGATCATAGGATCATAAAATGATTAGTGAAAAAATGAAAAAGTAATAGAGAGAAGCGGAAAAATAGAAAATGTACATGTAAGATATTGTTTAAAATATATATCGCAGCTGTTGTTTTATAGTTTGAATAAATTTGAGCCATTTAAATATTCTAGTAAGGCAAATGTATATAAGACAAATTTAAAAACCATCCTACTTTATTATATAGATAATATAGATAGATAATAATATAGACAAGAGGATAAGAACTAAGCCTTCGTTTGGGAAGTATGTTGGTTTTTTTGACTATTTAAACCTGGGCTCAAAAGCTTGGTTTGGGAAGGATTTTTTGATTTTTTGGCTTTTTAAACTTTTTTTGTAAGAGAAGAGTGTAATGATTATGAGTTGGATGTGATATTTTGTCTGTTGTGACTCAAATAGTCTATTCTGTCTTTTGTGGCTCAAAGAGTCAAAAGAGTCCAAATGAACTCTTCCCAAACGATTGTTAAGAAGTCCCTAAAATTTATTTAAATAATTGAATAAATTTTTAAATTTAAGTCGGTTCAATACCCTCGACCTTCTGTAAATAAGAGTTTAGAGCTGTACGGCTGCACCTCTAATTAGAGGTCTGCAGTAGCGTTGTTCTCAAAAGAAAAATGATTTAGACCTCTAAAAAAAGACAACTAATGGAGCTCTAATTTGTCTTTTTCTTCCCCTTCTTTTGTCTTTTACTTCACTGTTTGTTTTTTTTTTTTTTTTGCTTGACAGCTCACTAGAGTTGTACGGCTGCACCTCTAATTAGAGGTCTGCAGCAGCGTTGTTCTCAAAAGAAAAATGATTTAGACCTCTAAAAAAAGACCACTAATGGAGCTCTAATTTGTCTTTTTCTTTCCCTTCTTTTGTCTTTTACTTCACTGTGTTTTTTTTTTCTTTTTTTTTATTGCTTGACAGCTCACTAGAACTGTACGGCTGCACCTCTAATTAGAGATCTGCAGCAGCGTTGTTCTCAAAAGAAAAATGATTTAGACCTCTAAAAAAAGACTACTAATGAAATTTTAATTTATTTTTTTTTCTCCTTCTTTTATTTTTTATTTCACTATTTTTCTTTTTTTATTGCTTGACAGCTCACTAGAGTTGTACGGCTGCACCTGCAGCATCGTTGTTCTCAAAATCGTTTCTCACTACTTTGGTGCTGTTTGGTGTAGCTGTTAAAATAGATTATAGATTATAGCTTAACAGATTATAGATTATGACTTTAATCAGAAGCTGTTAATCTGTTTGGTATAGCTGTTGGATTATAGATTTAAGTTGCAGAGTAGTGTTTGTTAAATAAGCTGTGAAGTAGCTTTTTTAATTAACTTTTATTTTTTATTGTTCATTATTTGTCTACATTTCTCATAAAAAATAATAATAATATTTTATAGTCTATTTGTGTCTTTTTCTATTTTTAAAAAAATAAAAAATAAAAAAATCTAAGAGTATAACCGTGGATTAATATGTCCATAGCAAAAGCTGATAATCAGAAGCAAGGGGTGAGCAGCTTCTCAGAATCAGCTTTTTTTACTTAAAATAAGTTATTAGAATCAGAAGTTGTTTGAAATAAGTTTAACCAAACAGTCCAAAATAACTTTTTAAAAGCCAGAAGTCATAAATTGGCTAAAAAAACCCCTACCAAACACCCCCTTTATCTGTCTCTCTATGTTTCGCTCTCTTTCTCTCTCTTAGTGTTAGGGTTTTCTTCTTCGATTCTGAGATTAAGAAGCTATGTCGACTTCAAATATAATCGAGTTGAAGAGCTCTGATGGCGAGACCTTCGAGGTTGAGGAGGCGCTGGCGATTGAGTTGCAGACTATCAAGTGTATGATCGAGGACGGCTTTGCCGATACCAGCATTCCTCTGCCAAACGTTACTGGTAAGATCTTGGCCATGGTCATCGAGTACTGCAAGAGGCACGTCGATAGCTCTACGTTCGACGACAAGATTGCTGAGGATGAACTCAAGAACTTTGATACCGAGTTCGTCAAAGTTGATCATGGCACCCTCTTCGATCTCATTTTGGTTTGGTTTTCTCCTCCCTTTTTGATCTCGTTGATTATTGAGATTTTATCCTTTTGATTGCCTAATGATTTGATGATTAGGGTTTTTATCGATTTATTGATTTTGATTGTATTGTGGTTTCGAAACTTATCTGTTAATTTATGTAAAGCGTGAATTTGTCGTTGAGAAAACTATATTTTTCATTATTGATTTCTAATAGCACAAGGTTTTAGAGTTTTTTTTTTTTTCACATACATGGGATATTGGTATTTTTTATTTTTTATTTTTTGATTTAGGTAACAAGAAGAATTTTGTTAAAATTAGGAAATTATGGATTGTATTGATATTGATGTTATTTAGACTCTTCCCATTGTTATTTTGATGTCCTAAAATGGTTAACAAAGTCAAGATGGTTAGGTTAACAGAGGAACACTGTTGAAAATTTGTTCTATATTGAAAACAAAGTCAAGATGTTATTTATATGTTTCTTTGATTTGGAAAACAAGAAGAATTATATTAAAATTGGGAAATTATTGGTTACATTGATATTGATGATATTTAGACTAACAGAGTAGGTACCATACACCCACCTTCCCATTGCTGTTTGGGATGTCCCAAAAAGGTTAACCATCTTGAAAAGTGAAGATACTAATAATGTAATCCTCTTTTGGTTAAGTTTGAATGCATTTAATAAATGGACAACTTTGAAAATTCTTACTATACTGTTAATGTGGAAACATATTTCCCCAAAAAAGTAGATGGAGTTATGTAGTTTTCACTTCTGAATTTCTTGTAGCTGATGAACTGTCATACTCTTGAAAAGTAATTATTACTTCTTGTTTTGTTTCTTGTTTGGTTGGTTGACTTTGTATTATAGTGACATTATTTTATTTGGCGTAGCATATTAATGCAACAGTATTGGATATTGGGTAGCGTTGAATGAAAATTAGTATTGCTTAATTATAGATTGTGGGACACAAGTTGGATTACACAGAGAAACAGTGAACTCTATCAAATAAAGGACAACTCACTGTAGTGATTTGCAGCAAATATGTCTGGGTTTGAACGCTTGGAAAGGATACTGTTATATTATTTCCTTGATCCTGTAAATAAAATGCGTGGGAATTTAGGTCTGGTAAATATAGCTGCCGATGACTTGTTGCTTGTGGTAATTGTTAATATAATATCATCATACAATAATATTCCCTTGGTTTGTTGTGTGCTTTTTAGCATCATAAAGCCTTATTGTAGCACTTGAATCTTCAAAATGTGAACTTGTCTACCGGAAATTGTGTCCGAGTTCTATATGCCGGCTTTGGAGAAGAGTTCGGGATGAGGTCAGCATATATGGTACATTTTTATGCCATGCAGCTTCTACGTATTGGATGGTTGGTTGGTGGGCCTTCGTACTGACTTTTAAAACTATGTTGGCTGCACTATTTGTACTGATTGCAAAATTGACCAGACCAACTTATTTAGAACTAGTCATCTTCTCTGAAGTCCATCTTTATTTATAACTAGTAATTGTGACATATCCTTGTGTTTGTTTTAATCTTATATACAGGCAGCAAATTATCTGAATGTCAAGAGCCTGCTAGATTTGACTTGTCAGACAGTGGCAGACAAAATTAAGGGGAAAACTCCGGAAGAGATCTACAAGACGTTTAACATCACGTCAGTCTTCACTCCTGAGGAAGAAGAGTTGGTTCGCAGGGAGTATGCCTGGGCATTTGAGTGAAAATTAAGCGAATATGCAAATATTGTATGATAGGATTTCTATTTCATATGAGCTGCTTTGCACATTTCATTTATGTTTGTAAATATATCTTGTTACTCTGAAGACAAACCTTCACCTCCTCATCATGGTATTTAACAAATTTGAACCTTTTCTATTATCTTGTCTTTGTTGTGTTAGCTATTCTTAAATTGATGCATGTTGGTCTCTGTGTTAGTTTTTCAAATTTTCGAAAGTGTGATATTTAACAAATTTGTACGTTCATTTTCTGTGGTTGCAATTCTTAAATGACTGTCTCATATTTTTTCCAATCATTAACTAATAACACTTGTATATCATTGGGCTTCGAAAATGAGTTTATTAATGTTGTAGTGTTGTGCATATTTTAATTTAATATAATTTAAAATTTTAGTTAATTAATTTTTGTGTAGTCAATTAGGTTGAATGATTTTTAGTTTGATTAATTTACTGGTTTAATCGCAATTTTAATAGTTTTATTAAATATATTGATTAAATTTAAAGATTGAATGATTGATTGCTTGATTAGAAATAAATTGTGTCTAAAAATTATTAATTTTTATTTTGTAATTTCATATTGAGAAAATAAGGAAGAAATGAGTTATTTTAGTAATATATAAAATGAATTTTATGTTATGTAATATTGTGTATATTTTAATTCAAGATAGTTTAAATTTTAAATTAAAATAATATTTAAAAGTTTTAATAATTAATTATTTTTTATATAAGTTAATTGATTTTTTAACTTAACTGATTAGACTGAATGGTTTTCAGTTTGACTGATTCGTTCATTTAAAATTTTGTGAAATCCAATAAACATAGTCATCCGAGTTCAAAGGAATCAGAGAACTGCATTTGGTGGTATTTTTTTGTCTATGAAATACATAATGCATACTTGAAAAGAAGAAAACAAAAAAAAGTTTTTAACTACGATTTTTTTTAATCAAAACATCCGAAGGCATTTTGTTTCTGATATCTTCTAATCTATCAAACCATTGACAATCTAGCTCAATTTGATTTACTTACAATTTCTTTCCTTGATTCCAAAACAGTACCCAAAAAAGCAAAGATGTTACAATCATGTACACGAAACGCTGCATGTTGTATATGCTGGACTTCTCCAGTAAGACAGGTGTTGCTTCCAGAGGCAGCATTTGAACTGTCCCCATTTTGTGAAAGGCGGGTTGCAAAATACAACCCTTTTGAATCAGGAGGTGGAGTACTCCACCTATTTACAAGTTCTTTATTGTTCCTACAATTACAATGACCGAAAATGAGTCATACACAAATGAAGACTGTCATCATAAAACAATCATTATCGTATCATAAGTAACTGGTTTCTAGTAGCTCATCTTGTCTAGGGAGAAAAAGTAGTGTAGTCTCTCACAGAAATTCCAAGTAAAATTTGAATGCATTATCAATGCCAATATCCATCTTTTACATCAAACGGAAGATTATTGTAATCAGTCATTAATGAATTCATCCAAGACCTCAGGTAACGACTACGCTACTAGCGGAACAACTTGAGCTTCAAGATGAAATGTAAGATCTCAAACATTAGCTACAAGTGGATTGTCATATAACCACAATGCAGTCATCAAAAACAATAAAGCTGCCAAGTAGTCATTTGAACTCTCTTAATTCCTTGAAATCAAAAGGGCCCTCTAGTACACAAATAGCATGGGTTCCCAAAAACCATTTAAGATCACCTGAGACCACAAAAGCCTAAACAATTTGAGAGATATATTAGGAAAAACGTCCACATGACTAATAAATTTGAAAGATGCTTATTTTCAGTAGATAGACTACTCCGCATTGCAGTCACACCCAGCAAGTTTGTAATGACCATCCTAACTCCAAAGAGAAAGTAGTGAGAAGTTGAACTTACTGATACAAGACAGAGTTCTTATAAACTTGGGCGAAACAACACCAAGTTCAGCTTCTGCCGATGTAGAAGTGACATCTAACATCCACGTTGCTGGATTGTAATTATTTTTTTTTTATCTTTGGCACCCCTGAGATATCCTATTAGAGAGAAATGCTTGAAATAAAGATGAAACAATACTTAAATTTCTACTTTTAGAAGCATATCATGTACATTAATTAAGGGGAAAAAACATTGAAGACGTTTATGTATTCCTGCAGCAAATTGACCTCAAAATATTCGGTGACACTGCTTGAATGTTGACCCAGCAGTCTAGAGTAAATAATTCGTCCACCGGATTTCAACAGAATTAACCGCAATCAATGCCAAGGAGGCATTAGACCTAATTTATTTACATTGAATCACAAATATGAAATTGGATTAGAATTAGAAGACAAGTTTTAAAAGTGGATGTTCTCTGTAAATGTCAAACATGTCTTGAATTGATTATGCACAAGTGACAAAATTTCACTATGATGCAATAGAGGGCAACAAATAGAAGGTCTAGCTATTATCTGTGAAAGGAATAAATAATTTAAAAGATTTTCGTGGCAAGAAACATTCAACATCATCAAACAATAGAAAAACCTGTTGATGAGCATATAGAAACTTAGTCGAACTTCTACATTTAAAATGGTTGAAATACACATGGATAGAGATTAACCAATACTTCTGAGAAGTAAAAGCTATAGATACCTAGTTAGGAAAGCAGTTGCAATAATAGGTCAAGCTGTTAAGAGAGCTGGCCACAATACCAACTCTCACAAAGATAATAATAGTAATACTAAATATTTGAAAGGCTTCAAATCAAGAGGTAACACTAGTCTTGAACTTGGCCCTTTCATGTGTCATTTCTTTAGTAGAAGGCAATTGGGAATGTAATTTTCCGAGTTAAAACTCGCATAATTAATTCCATTTCAGTATCCAAATTGACTTTATGTTCCAAGTTCTCTTAAAATAGTTCATTAATTGCTTTCCTACCTCATCAAATGCTTCAAACATGTCAATGCTTGGTTTTCAGCCACGTTCTTCATTGCTTGCATAACAATTGCAGCTGCTTTTGCATCCAATCCAGTTGTAGGTTCATCCATGAAAATAATAGAGGGGTTAGCAACAAGCTCCACGGATATCGTAAGCCGCTTTCTCTGCTCAGTTGATAAACCACTAACACCGGGCATGCCAACCAAGCAATCTTTGATTTCATCAAGCTCAATGATCTCAAGGACTTCTTTCACAAATTCCTGCAAAGATGTGCAGCAGCAACGAAAGTAAAATAATGTTTAAACTATTGTTGTAGAATTAAAGAGTAAATTTAACTTCCCTATACAAATTTAGTTTTTGAATCAATTTCAGGATGCAGACGCAGCCAATCAGAATAAGCCACTGATTCTTCAATTGTAATTAGTGGAGAATGTATGTCGGTTTGCTCACAGTAACCCGAAATCCTAGCAAACGTCTCCTGAACCTTAGGAAACCCTCCAATTCTAATATCTCCTTCAATAGTGCCACTAGTTTTTCCTCCAGCAAGAACATCCATAAGAGTTGTTTTCCCAGCTCCACTGACACCCATCAATGCTGTAAGAACACCAGGCCTAAATGCACCTGTAATATCACAAAGAAGTTGGATTTTTTTTTTTTCTTCTGAGTGAAGCCCCTTTCTCTCATTGCCTGAAATCAAGGAAAAATGACACAATTAACCAATGTAATTTGATCCAATTAGTTCTAAATATTTAACAGGTACATAAGATTTATAAGAGATTTGTTTATATGATTACATCAGGGGTGTCAACATTGTATTGCACATCCTGAAACACCAGAGTTAGGGATTCAAAAGGTAAAACCACTTGACCTGTAAAATAAGATTACCCACCCTTATTAAGTGAAACAGGAATAAACTTATAAGACGATAAATAAAGGAAAAGAATCATGTGAAGCAATGGTTTCAATAATTATAAGAGAATGAAGAAAAATCTAAAAATACACGACCTTTATGAGATGTTGTAGTAGTGTTAGGAGAATCCATAGATTTTACTTCTGCATTGGCAGCACCAGAGGAATCTTCAGATCCTTGAATTTGGGAAAGCTTTTCATTTGAAATAATAGCACGAGAACTACGAGCTGAATTCATTTTGAAATGAAATAAGCATGTATCACTCTACAATTCTTATGTTGACTTCATGTAATCAAAAGACAAACTTACAGTTTAAGAAGGTTAAGGACAAGGTAAATCCAATGTTGAAAATTATTATAAATCCAAGCAAGGCACCAAGTGATATCCAAAATAAGTATCCGTGAAAGTGCAATCCACGGCTTTCAAGTGTTTCTTGCCCTATGGTAATATTCGCTGTCAATGTCTAGACAAAATAATGAAGAGCATAGAATGAATAAGCAGATCATGGCCATCTATTTACTTGATTACCAAATAAACTGTAAGTAAAACAAGCAGTCCCAAAACCTTTGTTAAATATCATAGATCCAAAAGTCTGTGCACCGACGCATATATTAAACTTTAAGGTTGTGTTTGGATTATGGATTTTGATAAGGATTTGGAAAGGGAAAGGGAAAATGTGAGTGAAATTTCAATGAAATACAAGCTAGATCTTTTCTCCATTTTCCTTTCCCTTTTTAAATCATTGTCAAAATCCATGATCCAAACATAGCCTAAAAGATCATCACAAGCATCTAATCTACAAATTATGATTACCATAAAAGGGTAAAATATCATATTATCTAGAAAAGAAAGAAAAATGATAGAAAGAGACACGTAACTCCAACTAAAATAAACAGTAAGCAGCAATATTGCCAACAAGGATTGACATATGAATAAGATGTGCAGCGCCCAAATGAAGACAATTTTATGGATGAAAAAGTACTGGACAACTTAATTAGAACTCTGAACATTCCATGATATCGGGAAGAGAAGGTACAGAGTACATAGATTATGCTTGGGCAAATAAAAATTGAGCAATGAGGTATTGGAAAAATGATAAGTTCATGGTAAAAATTCCAAGCATTAGAGCATTGGTGAAAATAGGTGGAGTTCATGCTAAAGAAATGTGGTTCTCGTGAGGATGATCAAGTGGATGGGATTTTGTTGTCTACCCAATAAATTGAGAAATTTTGTTGCTAATGGTAACTGATATAAAGAATGATATCCTATATAATTGGCCTTCCAACATTATTGTTTTAGAAGTGGTCCTCATCTAGCCCTTGCTAAG